GCTGAGAGACATATCAATTGTAGATTCCTGGTGCCATATTGGGAGTAACCTTTCACTGTGCTGCTTCAGGTGTCAGAAACCTGTTGTTGTGCTGGGGAGACTCTAAAACAACCCATTGAAGAGATTTATGTTACAGGTGAAACGAAACAAATTGGGTTATCTAAGTAGAAATGGGACAGGCCTGGTAAAAGGGACACAGAGTACTAAAATCTAATTTTATTCAGTAGTTATACATTCCCTATTTACCCTCTGAAAATGTGTCCTACTCGTTCCTAATAAGCAGCAATGCTGAGAGGTGTGTTATCTTTCCTTTCCTATCTTCTACTGAAAGCAAACAGCAGGAGAGAAGGTAGTTTATGCACAACTAAACCAAAACCTCAAGACATTGGAATAGAGAAAAACAGTGTGCTCAGAGTCCTGTTTTATGTCTAGTGATTAAAACTCTAGAGGGCAAATGTGGGGAAAATAGTGGGATGCAAAGTGCTTGCTGAGAACATGATGTCAAGGATGGAGGCCAGGGGCTCCAGTCCCAAACCTCCCTAGGCTGGGCTGCAGGCAGTCCCTCTCCCACCCCAACCAGCAGAAGCTGTTGGGGCATAATGTTGACAAAGCACCAGGAAGAGGCCTCCTCAGATCAGAGGGAGGCCAGGTCAGCCCCTGCACACTTCCCCAAGGTGCACACCTGCCCAAGCCAGCGGGGTGGGAGTGGAGGGGGAGGGGGCAGAAGCAAAGGGTGGCTGCCAGAACAATAGCACCTGAGTCCTACAGCAGGTGCAGCGCTAGCAGGGCTGGTTTTCCTAAGGGAAGGAGGATTCTCAAGTTCTTTCCATCAAAATTCCTGAGAAATCTGCTAGCACGGCGGAGCAGCTTTCCCTGGAGCCACAGCTCTGGTGCAAACCCGAGGTCAAAGAACAGATGTGATTCCACCTCCAATGAACCCCCAATCCCAGGTTTTGATTCAAGGTTAAGTATCCTCAGGTCTCTCCTCCACATCCAGAAAATGCCAAATAATTTAGGTAATACTTCAAGGTACAGTGACTGAGGGATTGGAATCAAACATTAGATTTGAAATTTCATTTATTAGCCATGAGATTTTAAGCAAGTTCCTCCCTCTCTGATAATCCCTTTTCTTACCTGTAAAATTCAGATAACGCCTACCTTAAAGGAATTCACATTCTAAGACAACGCCTAACATTCAATACCTGATATACATCTTATTACCCTTCTCTTCCTTCTTTGACCAAAATATATTTTGTCAAAAATGTGAACCCAAATCTAATTTTCTAGGCATCCACTTGGTTAAAGCTCATTATGGAGATTTCAATGTAGTGTCTAAGGTACCTTATTCACTACTGCACTGAATAACATTCAAAAACTGTGCTATGGGCTTAAGAATAACTCATATTTTATTTATAAGGGATTATGACCACAAGGTTACATAGCAGTAAATTCACAGTAGTGATTTATTTTTTGTAAAACAAGACTCACAAAGCACAAACACTACCCAGAAATACTTACAACACTTTACAATTGCAGGGTCTCTGCTGGACTATTTGAATATTATGGCACAATTTCTGTGCTTTTAGTAATCAATCTTTTTTTAAAAAATGAAGCTCAATTTTTAAGTTATACTGAGAAATCTATGGTAAGGCTTCCGGGGTAGTGAAGTTGGAGCAGTCATTATCATGGAGCTTGACCTTTCTTTCTTTGTTTCTTGCTGTTTTCAGGTCATGAAGTCCTGAGGCAAGAAAGTCTAATGGACTTGCCTACAGGACAGCAGGCTCTCCAGAAGACACTGCTGTGCTAAAGCCATTTACTCCTGGGGAGAAGCCAGTGTAACCTAGGGGAAGGAGTAAAGGAGGGGAGGGAGAACTATCTGGCTTTAGAGTAACCTCCCAGAAGATGGGTGCTGTTAGGATATCTCTCAAACACAGGGCATATGTAGAAAAACGTGGACTTTCACACACTCATCTATATAAACACATCCACAAGTTATTTGCTGAGATACACACCCATCTGTTACAGACAACACAGATGTTCAGATGGCTAACATAAACATGCCGTCCATCTGGTAATTACACTCAGAGAAATGCTCACATATATAGAAACACACACCCACAAACAGATATGCGTCCTAGGGTAGGGAGCCTTCCATAGCAGGGTTCACATAGACGAGAGTAAACCAAGGACTTGATTTTGCTGATTTCACTGAGCAGCTGCTACACTCACTCTCCCGGGGAAAAAGTAAGGAGGGGCAGGGTCATCGGGTTTCTGTCAGCCTAACAGGCTCATGGCTTCCCCACAGGGCTACAGCCTTATCTATATACATGCACACCAAAGCGATCAGGAGACACAAGAAAGAGAGTACTTGACTACCACCAACTATGGTGAAGACAGCGGAGCACCTCATGCCCACCCAACACACACCCGAACAGCCACAATCTCCCCACTGCAAAGGAGGTCCGAGTTCTGGCAATGAGCCACAGCACAACACACACACACACACATACTACGGCCACTTTCCTCTGTGCGTAGAACAGAGGACAGAGAGGAAGGAAGGGAGATGATGACAGCTGGGCAAAAAATGGTCAAGCATTTTCTCTAGGGCTTACTTTAAAAACTTTCGCAAAACTATTACACGTTTTGACTTAACTGATAATGCAAAGGACGGATCAATCACAAAACCTTAAAATTCCTTCCAGCTCTAAGAATGCAGACTTCAATGTTTAGCTCATGGACGATTAAAAATTGTCATTATCTTCAAAAGTACACACTTAAGAACAGAAACTATCTACTGGTTAAAACATCACCAGGGAAGAGAACCACCTCAGACGTATACTCCTCATTAAGTTTTTCTACTCCTTACTGTTTAACGTTCACATTTTAATAACAGGTTGAAAGTTATAGAAAATCTATAAACATTTCAGGCAAACAGAATCTTGTATCCTCTAATGTGAACTTATCTTCTAATTCTACCAGCCCAGGGCACAGTTTACTCCTTTTCAAAAGAAGAGCTTATTGACTGCAAGAACTGAAAAGGACTGTGTTCAATTGTATGATACAGCTTTTCCGAAAACTTACATTTTAAAAAAAATGCCATTTACATTGTTCCCACTGCACCAGTAACTCAAGCTATTAAGAGTGTGCAAGTGCAAAGGCTTGATACAAAGATCCTGCATTTTATTACGTTGTTCTTTCGAAAAGGACTCAATACAAAGTCAGTGTAAAAAAATCAATATTCAATTTAAAACAAACAATAATTTCACAAAGTCTGACATTCTCCTATGCAAAGACTGGGAGAGAGAGAAAAGAAATTCCTTAATTTAAACCTTTCTTCACCCTGCTGGGAAGGCAGGCACCAAAGCCATGAATCCAACTTAACCCCTTCTGGACTGGTAATTGAAGACAGGGTGGTAAGCACAGTTTTTTAGAATGTTGATGGATAGTGTCATTATTAACCATATGAATATACATGTATGGCACTTCTATTGCTGGGTTTCTGATGCAGCAGCCTCTGATACATTTAGTCTGGGACAGTATAACCTTTATGCAGCCAAAGTCTCTTATACATTCACCATCCCTTGCCCAGTCTCCCAAAATATATTCCTGAGAAAGACATTATCAAAAGGAATGTCCGGCTTGAAGGGACCTAAAGGCAAAACTAAGAAGAACCAAAGCACCATGGTTACATGGTATGTGTTTTTCATAAACGGAAACCATGTAGTTAAATAGTATGTCTTGGCTTCACACCATACCGACTGGATTCTCCTTCCTGCTTTTCCAAGACATCTTCTTGTTGACCTGAAGGCTGTGGATTCAAGAACGCTGTTTACTTTTTCAGGTACGGTGTGTAACGAATATTGAAAGCCAATTTTGGTTTAAGACAGTAATAACAAACACTGCACCACTTGTGGAATGCATAAACCAGAAAGGGTACATGCGAACACATACACAAAGAGCATTTGACAGTGTCATCCTTGGCTATAGCAAGGTGACTGGTTACCCTAAACACTGGCGGGAGTGAACACTTTGCAAAGGTTTGCTGTGGATACAGGAAGGCAGATGGAGGAACTGAAGGCCGCTGCAGGGCTCTGCCCGTTGGCGCCTCCACTCGCCCGGCCCGGCTGCTCCCCTGGGCCCGGGCCCAGGCAAGCCCACTGAAACCATCTAAGAAACAGACCAGGCTGGCATCATTCTGGATCACAAGCTCGGTTCCCTACTTTCCTTTCCCCAAATGCTGCAGCTTGCCCATTCCCTCTCCTCACTTTACTGCCAACTACGAGTGATTTAGCACCAGGGCCTAAAGGAGCCCCTGCACGGGTAGTAAGGGGCGGACGTGATGAGCGCACAGTGACGGTGGTCAGAAGTCAGGGGCTGGATGCCACAGCTCTCCCTTGGCAGGACAGCTTGCTATGGAGCTTTGTGAGGACTTATCTCCCGGGAAATGGAGGCTCCGAGCTGAACTTGCCAGTCCCTGAGTCACAGCGTGGGTCTCCCCCTGGTGGGTGTGGAGCAGTCGGGGGAGGGGCTCCTGCTGCAGCCCGAAAGGGACATCCTAGCTGGCATGCCCTCCCTGGGACCTACCTGGGGGGTACTTCACGCTTCCCTACGTAAACAATCCATGGGGTGGACCTGAGGCTGTGCATGGAGCTCGAGGGCACACGTGAAGAGCCAGGTCCTGGGCAGCTCTGAAGGCTGGGCTCCCTGGCCGGTGCTGTCAGCCAGGTAGGGTGTGGTGTGTTTTGGGGGGGTGGGGGTGGGATGGAGCGGGGTCAGGTAGGCCATCACTGGGTTAGGAAAGAGCTACCTGCTCAAGCTGGTAGGCAAGCAGGTCAAAACCAAGGCAGGTAGATCCTCTCTTTGGGGAAAAAAATAAAATCATTAAGAGCTGTAAACTGACAGTGCACATTTGTCGTGATCTTTCTCTGCAGAACCTAAGGCAACAGAGAACAAAGACGAAGGCAGGCGTTCCGTGAACAGCCCGTGGCTCCCGTGGTGCCGGATGTTGACATATACAAACACGTGTGGACATGTCCTGTCTGGTTCCCTGAAACAGGACAAAGACGTGTCCCCAGAGGCCCACGAGTGGGATGGCCAGAAGCCAGGGCAGGGTTGGGTGCTGGACGAAAGGCAGGGACGAGTCGTAAGGCGAGGTTCCCAAGAACCTCCAGCTCCGCTTTGGTTTGCAGCTGTCACAGAAACACCAGGGAACGGCTTCTCGAGAGACGTCCCATCCCCAAGTCAGATGTCATCAGTCACTTTTTTTCCAGGACAGACATCTTCTGCTTCCTTCCAAATAAAGTGCAGATGGTCAAAGGACCCTGGTCTCTCATCTGCCAGTTCAGTCAGCAATGAAGAATAATAAAAACAAAGATGCCCCTCTGGTATACATATACATCTCTATATATATTCTTTTTTTTTTTAATAAAGCCACAAATATAGAACTTTTAAACTGATGTCTCAGACTGTAAGCGAAGGACAAATTTGTGAGACTTGGGGTCTATGAACTCTTCCGAGAGCATGATGAATGGAATTTTCTTCACATTGACTACGAGGCTGAAGTCCAAGCATTTGAGGACAAAAACGAGTCCATCCCGCAGCCCGCTGGTCACGGCCTCATCACTGACGAGCCGCCACTGCATGGCGAGCCAGCGCTCCCGGTCGTACTGCAGCGTGGGACCCGTGCTGAGGTACCGCTCGAGGAAGGCCTGCAAGGACAAGCGGAGATGCTATTAGGGAGGGAGCACGCGCTCCAGGTGGTGCTGCTGGGGGCTGCCTGCTCTCACTCCTGGGAAAACATGTCCTCCCAACAAACCAGGATGGCCCCACAGATCACACCCAATTCCATCAGGACTGCCCCACGGAGTCCCCGCTGGGGAGGGAAGGCTCCCCTACTTTCTCACTCTCCAACCAGAGGGTGCCAATGGTGGTAAGCAGAGACGCGAGGAAGGCAGGGTGGCTGGTACCCACGTCTGCCCAGAAGCCGTGACTGAGGCACCAGCCGCCTCTGAGGGCCTGGGTCCCACAGCCCAGGCCACGGCTTGTACCTGTTCATAGGTCGGCCTCCTCCCATCCCGAGAGCTCCTCGGGGCAAGTGCCAAGCACGGAAAAGCACTCTGGGAATGTGAGCAGAAGAAATACAGGGATATACCTGCACACACAAAAACGCATGTTCTGCCCTTACTGCTGTGTGCCTCTGGATGAGCCGTTTAACCTCTCTGTGGGTAGAGGAGATGACAGTGCTAATGCACAGGGCTGCTGTGAGGACGAAGTGGTGGACTCTGTCTCACGGTGCAAGGTTGTTTTATGGGGGATGGAGTGTGCGTGTGGCAAGTCCGGGGGATGGCCGGGCCCCACGTCCACCGCCCTCTCTCTCGGCTCTAGCAGGGATGAGCTCCGTGGGTTCCTCGACATTCCCCTCGACATATGCTGTTCCTCCTGCTGGATGTCGTCCTTCAGCAAACTCCTCCTGGTCCTTTAAATCTTCTCACACCACTCCCTGAACCTCTCAGACAGGCAAACATGTCCTCCTTTAAGGGCCTCTAATCATGGGCATTACTCCCTTGTGACATTTTACTTTCTGAACAATTATTGCCAACTTGTCTGAGGGCTACACTAAACTATACTCTCCTGGAAGGCAGGAACTATTTTTTTTTTTGCGGTACGCGGACCTCTCACTGTTGTGGCCTCTCCCATTGTGGAGCGCAGGCTCCGGACGCGCAGGCTCAGTGGCCATGGCTCACGGGCCCAGCCGCTCCGCGGCATGTGGGATCTTCCCGGACCAGGGGACGAACCCGCATCCCCTGCATCGGCAGGCGGACTCCCAACCACTGCGCCACCAGGGGAGCCCAGGAACTATTTTTTAAATTTGGATTTTCCATGTGCCTGGCATATGCTGGGGGCCTCAACAGTGTGTGTGTTACATCAATAAATATATCAATTTAACTTTGAGAAAGAAGAAGAAAGAACGAACCAGGGATCCAGATAGAAAATATTAGGATAAAACATTCTGGTCCTAAACACAGGTCACAGATGGTTTCTAAGTGGTATCCTCTTCCAACCACACCTCACTGCTGCTGCCAGGTACATTATTTCTGATCTATAAGCACATATTCTAAGGCAGAAGGGAGAGTTGTGCCTCCACCACAACACACACTCATATAAAAATAACTCCTATGTGGGAATTTCCTGGCGGTCCAATGGTTAGGACTCAGTGCTTTCACTGCTGGGGCCCAGGTTCAATTCCTGGTCGGGGAATTAAGACCCTGCAAGCCACGAGGCACGGCCAAAAAAAAAAAAAAAGAAAAAACCCCAACTCTTATGAATCATACGGAAAAGAAACAGCTCAACAGTTAGATAAATGAAATTAATGAGACAATTTATAAAAGAATAGAAAATTAAGATATGAAAAGATGTTCTACCACATTAATAGTTAAAGAAATATGACTTCCAATAATAAAAATCCATTTCCCTCCTCTTAGATGGGCAGTGATCAAAAAGAATGATAACACCCAATGCTGGCAAGGGTAAGGGGGAAATAAACGGTCTCATATCCTAAAGGCAAAAGTGTAAAACAGTAACACCCCTTAGAAGGACAATTTGGCAGGATCTGTACCTTTGATCCAGCTGTTCTTCTACTAGAAATTTATCCTTCAGAAATACTTGCATAAATGCACAAACACATATGTAAAAAAGAGATATTCACTGCAACACTGTTTAGACCAGGGATTGGCAATCTTTTCTTTAAATATAAATATTTTTGGTGTTGTAAAGGCACATACTGTCACAACTACTCAACTGCTGTAGTAGAGAGAAAGCAGCCGTAGACAATCTGTAAACAAAAGGGTGTAGCTGTGTCCCAATAAAACTCGATTAACAAAAAACCACCAACCCCTGGTTTAGACTAATGAAAGATCTTAATCCAAATGTGCATCAGTAGGCAATCCATTAAACAAACCATGGTATTCAGTGGAATAAGACGCAGCTATTCCAGGGAATGAGTCAGATCTGTATAACGGAGATTGGGAAGTACGGACATGGAAATATAGCCAAGAGACAGCTTTAAGTGAAAAAAGCAAGTTTCCAAACTTTACCTATATGGTATGAGATCCCATTTCTGTTTTTTTTTCTTTTTTTTAATCCACTTCTGCTTTAAAAACACACACACACAAACACCTGAAAGAATACACCCCTACTCTTTATATCAGTAAGAACTGTCTGGGTTAGGGGAATGAAAACTTTGCTTTGTACATTATACTTTTCTTTAACGTTCGGATTTTTATACAAAGATTATTAGTTTTAATTCAGAAAAGTATACTTTTTTTTTTTAAATGAAAAAGAAAGCAACCAGGAAACTTAAAAAAAAAAAGAAAAAACCTTGACCAAAGGAAAACCACCAATTCCATTCTATGTGGTACGAGCTATCACTTTGCACATGCAGACATATTGTACTCACTTGTAACCACAGTGTTCAAAGCTTTTTGCATTCTGTTTTTTGTAACTTAATATTCTAACAAAGATTCTTCCATGTTTTAACAGGTGAAATACTGTAATATGTAAGCCACTGTTCTATTTTTAACTCCAGTTTGGAGTTAATACAGATTATTTTGCAAAAATCACGTGCATATATATTCATGAGTATAGCTGACTGTGCTGAGTACTTTTTCCAGGAGAGGGATTAGTGAGTCAAAGAATATGAAAAACATTATGGCTTCTTACTGAATATTTCCGTATTGCTTTTCTAAGTATCATTACTGGTTAGTGACAATACAACCAACAGCTGTATATTACAAGGCAATGTATGAACACAGGTCCTTATACTAATAATATCACTACCAAGTGTTATATGTGTACGATATGCAAGCTCATTTACTTTCTACCTCATGATTTACATGTCATGCTGCCATATTTGATACAATTCTCATACAACAATCCTATCAGGTAGATACTATTATTATCCCCATTTTATAAAAGAGGAAACAAGTGAAGAGTAACTCAGGCAAAGTCACAAACCAATTAGGTGGTGGAGCCAGGATCTGAACCCACTTCTGTTTGAAGAGAGGTCCTTTGCTGAACCCTCCCTCTACTTTGCCTCCTTGGCCACAGTCCTCTGTTAGATGCCTGGTTGTTTCTTGTAACAGCCCCAAAAGTGTGCTCATGTCATAATCCAAGACAGCATTCAGTAAAACTAACCCCCTAAGAGCCAAAACACCAAAGTGATGGCACGTTTTCTATTGTTGATAATAATGGCTATTTATTTGGTCCTTATATTATGACAGACGCTGTGTTAAGCACTTCACAGGAATGGACTCTCTTAGTTCTCATGACAACCCAATGAGGTAGATATGAGTATTATTCCCAATTTACAGACTAGCAAACTGAGGCACAGAGCCATTAGGCTTTTGGCCCAAGGTTTCCCACTAGTTGGTGGAGGTGCCAGGTTAGAGTGAGTCAACCTGACCCCAGAATCCTCAGAGTAACCTGAACTACTACCTGGACTGTCTCTAAGTGAAAGTCTTTCCTCTGCTTGAATCTAGAGGCCTTTAAAGGCACATTTTAAAAACGACGGTATCAAAACAACATAAAATAAGTGAGAATCATTCATTCTTATTAGTTGGTGCTTCAGAGAAGCCTTTGATTTGATCATTCCTGGTAATACCCTAAAATGGGACTTTCCAAGCTCGGTGACCAGTCGCACCTTTGGGGTCATGCTGTTGGTGATGCAGAAGGCCAGGTGCTGCAGGATGCTCTCCATGCTGTGGTAGTGCTGCTGCCGGGTGGTGCGTAGGTACTTCTGCAGAGCCCGGGCCATGGAGGGGAAGATGGCCTGGGCGGCCTCCCTGGGGTCCATCACCTCCCCTGGGGCTTTCTGCTGCTCCTCAGCCTGGAGACGCTGGATGTGGATGAAGGCCTCCTCCACTGCAACCACCAGCCTGCAGGCGATGAAACACAGCAGTCAGGACCGTGGTGCAGGGCTTGAGAACAGAGTCACACTGAATGTGGGATGACTCCTCCCAGTCTGCCCCCAGCTCACCCAAGGCTCCAGTCCTTAGCTGACACTCCAGATGGTTGGGAGAGGAGGGAAGGGGAAAGGAAGGCAAAGGCAAAAATAATACGTGGAATGGGGGCTCCAAGGGGGAGGAGGAAGGAGGCTGGGGGTCGGAGATGACTTCTGTTCTCAATTCTGCCACTAATTTACTCGGGAGACTCAGTTCAGTCCCTTTCATCTTTACAATGAAGGGTTAGATGAAAAGAGTTTTAAGGCCCCTCAGACTCTGGCCTCAAAAGGCTCTGTTTGCACTGAGAGGTGGCTGGTGGTGCGGAAGCAGCCTTACAGAGAGCCAGAGCTGTATCCCCGGATCCAGCCGCCCATACCAGCAGCCCCTGGGAGGAAAGAAGGAAGGGGCCCAGCACACATGATGAAAACCATCTCTGTCCACTGCGGCTAATGTGATCAGATCTTGAAAATCAGCAAGAGCCTGGGGATGTAGGGAGGGCCACTCAAAGTGCGGGCTGCGGGCCAGCAGCTTCATCATCAGTTGGGAATTTTAAAGAAATGCAAATTCTTGGGTGGGCCCCACTCTAGACCTTCTGAAAAGTTAAGTATCCGTTGCCAGTAGGGCCCGGAAGCTGAGATCTGTGTTTTAACAAGTCCTCCTGGTGATGCTTTTGAATGCTAAAGTTTGAGAAGCACCAGAGCAAGATTCCCACCGAAGCCCCAAGCAGGTCATGTTTATAAACTGAAATTTCATTCTGGTTTAAAAAAAAAAAAGTCTTACAGAGAACAGACTGTGGGTTGCCAAGGGGGAGGGGGTTGGGGGAGGGAAGGAGTGGGAGTTTGGGATTAGCAGATGCAAGCTGTTATACATAGGATGGATAAACAACAAGGTCCTACTGTATAGCATGGGGAACTGTATTCAATATCCTGTGATAAACCATAATGGAAAAGAATACGAAAAAGAATGTACGTATGTGTAACTGAGTCACTTTGCTGTATAGGAGAAATGAACACAACATTGTAAATCAACTACACTTCGATAAAACAAATTTTGGAAAAAGAGTTAGTATATGCCATTCACAAGAAAAGTGTGTTACAGGCATGCTAGTTTCGGGGGGTGGGCAGAGTGTACCTTGCTCTCCGCTTCCTCACCCGCCGTTCATGTTCCGCCTCCTCATAATACAACTCGTTGTGGCTTTTTTTCCCCCCCCCCGCACCCCGCGGGGCCCTGTCTCCTTCATGTTCCGCCTCCTCATAATACAACTCGTTGTGGCTTGAGTCCCTGCGCCGAGCAGCTGCGGCGATCATTGCCCGGGACTGACCAGTGGCGTTATTACTGGGGCCTTTGGGGGAAAGGACGATGGAGGAAGGACAGTTTTAATGCCTTGGGGCTGCGAAACAGAGCAGACAACTAGTCCACGGTCTGTCAGTACCGTCTGCCCCATCCCCTGTGAAGCACATACACAAATCCTGAAAGTAACTTCCTAGAAGGGTGAACAGGACCCCTGCTCTGCGTTCAAAATGCTCACAAGAAGGAAATCTCCCAAAACCCCAACTTGATGAGTGGAAATGGAAAAAGAACTCCGAAGGAGATGAAGAATGCTTGACAATTAAAATGCTGGCCAAAAATAGCACAGACTGTGCTGAAGATGTTACTTACCATATGTTACATAAAGTTCCATTTTGGCCATAAGGGCAGCTGGAACATTCATTTCAGCGACAAGACAATGGGAGAGAATGAGAGGGATGGGGGGAACAGGACAGAGGAAAAAGAGAGTCAATGGCCACGGAGACATTGACCACACACGTGCTAGAGTGTCACGGTGGCCACAACATTTACAGAAAATACCCATGCTTGGGGTCTTGCAAAATGTCATGTTTATTAATACACACCTAGAACTCCTAGTCTCGTTCATACCACGGACTGCCTTAACTTTTCAGAAGGACGAAGCAGATCGTATGCTTTCTTACGCAGCATCTACTTAATGGCCTGGCTTGCTAGTGGGATTCTGCACTAGGTTTGTGAAATTTACCAATCCTTTAGGATTCACAAGCGACTGCACATCTCATAGAGCCAAAAACAAAAAAAGGGGGAGGATACTGTCACTAAAACTGACACCGCCTATAAATCACTAGACTTGTTAACAATATGATCCTCTTCTAGGCTTTGCAAAGCTCTTGCCCTGACCCAAGGTACCCTGGCAAGAAATGACACCGTGTCCTGTTTCTTGCACTTAACCATCTGATAGCCCGAAACACAGCTCTGATGTCCCCAGCCTGGCCTCCGGCCTCCAGCCTCCAGCTACCCACCCAACTCTGGTTCTCAGCCAGGACTGACAAATGCCTGTAAGAAACTCACCAGAGGCCTGAATTATAGTCTTAATGGATTGGGGTAGCTGAATCTTCGGTAATTTATCCAAATTTTGAAAAGCAGCCTTTTCCTATGAGCTTTCAATGTAAGATGTTCACAATGGGAGGCAGGAAACCCACATCACTACTGTTTCATGTAGTTTTCATAAAATCTTCAAATAAATGAATCTCCCACATATGCAGACTATCAATCAACATTTCTCTAAAAATATCTTTGTCAGAAAAAAAAAAAAAAAAGGAAAGGAAAGAAAGGAGGAAAAGACAAAAGAAAAAGGAAAAATTGTTCTGCAATGAGAATGTACCATAAAGGCAGACCCTGAGAGGGGTAGAACCAAATGGAACATACAGTTTAATCTAAGTACTGGGTTGGCCAACTGCTCCCTGCACCCACCAGAGACACCACTTCAAGGCACGTACCATCTACGTTGTAGACTTTCAGCCCGGCCATGTGCTTGGCTGCTCGGAATTTGGAGGCTGTTAGGAGGTTGGGGTTATAGATGGTGAAATCTTTATAGTAATTTTCCAGAACCACCAATGCTGCTCGTTGGATACTGAGAAAAGAAGGCAAAATTAATGCAGTTTTTCCAAGCAGGTCCTATGTGAAAAAAAATACTCTTTTGGAGTTAGGTAAAATAACAGATCACCAAGGATAACCACACATAGAAGGCTCCTGGGTTTCACCACATCTTTTGTCTCCAGGACAAGAATTTAAAGATGAAACTTAAGTCCCATCGTTCAGTGGCTTCTGTGCCTTCTCCCAGGCTACATCATTAGCCGCATCCCATCTAGCCAATAGGCGACAAAGGAATGTTATACCTTCTAATTTAGATTTGCTTAGGCTACACAGAACGTTCCTCGTTTTCTCAGTTTACAGAAGAGCAAACTGAGGACCCCAAAAAGGTCAAGGACTTACAGATGGCTGCAGAGCTACTGAGGAAAACAACGAAGTGTAGATTCAAGTTTGTCAGGTCCTAGAGCAGTGTTTCTACCTACACTTCATTGCACCTGATGGAAGGAATGTAGGGTTTTCAGTTTTCTGTAGGTCAAAACAACACAGGGCAAAGTGCACTGGAAAAATACTGGCTGCAAACACTAGTTAATCCTGATTCCTACTCTTCATCCCATCCATCCCAGGCCAGCGAGAGCTCCCTCTTTCAGAGGAAACAAGATCCTTTTCCCTGAGCCCCCTGAGGCCTCAGCTGAGACCTCACTCCTTCTCGGTCTACAAGGCCTCCTGCTCCGTGGATTGCTGTTTCCAGTCCTCCGCAGGGGTGTGTGAAGAGGACTCCACTTGCCAGCGTCCTGTGATCTCTAACCTGTCACCAGCTTGGCCCCTCTGAGAGGAGCAGAGAAGAGGTAGCAGGGTGGGTGAAGGGGGCACCCATACTCAGTACTGGTCGCAAAAGAACACGCTCTTGGACACAGATACAGGACACTCACCACTTCAAAGAGTGACCTGTAATAACACAGCCAGGGATTTTACATACCTCATCTCATTTGACCCTCACAATCATTGAAGGGAAGAAAACCAAGGCTCAAAAATCTATGACCTGCAAACAGGACACATCTACCAAACAGCAGAGCTGGAACTCCAATCTGTTTCTTCTCCCAGATGTGTGGCCACTGTAGGACAGTGTACGTATGCACCGACCTCTCCAGGTCTCTTAGATGTTCACCAACCACGAGTGTGCTAAACTCCACATAGTTATTTGTATCTTGCCCTTTATATTTTTCTTCCTGTTTCCCTGCTAAGTAGGTGAGCTTATAGGGATTATTTACAATAGCCTGGGCAGCAGGATAGGGCTGCCTTCAATTCCTGGATGACCACACTGCCTTCTACAGCTCTCCGAGTGGCTCAGGGTTCTTCACACCAAGACAAGACAGCCCCTAATCCATCAGCTTGACACGCTGCCAACCCAGTCCTCAGCTCCCCTTGGGGCTGTGCCACCAGAGTTTAACATGGAGTCGAAAAACAATCTAGAAGTCAATCAGCTAATCTCCTTGAGAGCAGAGTCATGGCAATGTTTTCTTACTCATATCCCCACAGTGCCTCGATCCGTGATCCGCATGCAGTTGGGGCTTAGTATCAACCTAGATATGCACACTCATGCGGGGCTGGGGAAATCTGGGAAGACCAACTTCCAATAACAGAAGTATAAGATTCCTAAGAGCAAATCCACATTCAAAAGCCCTAGTCATTTAGTCTTCCAGTCGCCCACTCACCACTCTCATATTTAAGAACCTGTGTCAGCCAGGCTCTGGGAATGCAAAGATAGGGTGGGAGGAGCTTCTCCTTGCTGGCGTTATGTGGAACAGAAGCTCTGTGACCACCAACTGGAATACACAGGGGCTGAGGAAGCACAGAGGAGGGCTTCTAAGCACCTAGGACTTGGGTAGGCATAAGAGCAACTCCCTGAGGAAGTGAAGTGGCCCTTGAGTTGAGGTCTGTGTGTCATAGATCTTTGTGCAGAAGTCCTCTTGGCTTCCAGACACCCTGCCCGGCAGATCCCCGGCTCAGCACGGCCAGCCTCGGCTCCGTCCCTGTGTCCGTGACGTTCTCCCACGGGCGGGGCACGTGCTGCTCCTCCACCTCCTGCTCCATCCTGAGGCTGACGGCGGCCTCTGCCTGCTCGCTGATCACACACGAACACTCCCTCCTACGCACCTCCACCCGCCTGCCCAGGCACTGCTTTTCCGAAGTCTCTGGGCTTCTTGGAGATGAGAAGCCCCTCTACACGGAAGTAGGTCTGTTCGTGTGCACAGACTTGCCGCACGCAGCTTACTTCATCCCAGGCTCCTGTGCTGACATGGACACATCTCAAGGGGCGTGGATTCCAGCAGAGAAGTATTTCCCTGATCAAGATTTAAAACTTAAAAAGGCAACTCAGAGGTTATGCTCAGGCCCGTCTTCAAAGCAAACCCTCTTGTGGTTGTGGGGTTTGGCTTTTCTGTTCAGCCAGCCCGCAAGGAGGGGCCCAGGGCATCACACTACCTTGGCTGGGGCCTGCAAGGCAGAGAGGGAACGGCTGGACCGGAGCCTGGCGGCCCTGTTTCCCAACCTCTCTACCCCCAAAACCACCATGCTGCCCAGAGAAGGGATGTCTGTCCACACCCAGCTCTGGCAGGGGCCTTGCTCTCCAAACTGGGCAAGTCCACAATCAGCATTACACCAGAGCCCTGGGCGGCCTGGGGAGGGCTCAGGGACTGGACAGGAGCCTCCCCAGGCTCGGGAGCCTTTGCTCAGAAAACCAAACAAGAGCTCAGGTGATGTTTTCTTCCTTCAGCCCCGTCTCAACAGAGAGGCACGAGAAAGCCCCAGAATCATCTGTGGACCTGCCCACCTCCACAGGCTGACAAGCTAACCCGGGAGCTAAAAAAAAAGTTGAGATTTGGATTAAACTCCATCTGCCTTTCTTCACCTTTTTTTTTTTTTTTTTTTTTTTGGGTA